GACTGTGAACAGAAAGGTTGCCATTTAGATTCCCAGTCAGGGCACATGCCTGGGTTGCCAGCCAGGTCCCCAGCAGGGGATGCACGAGAGGCAACCATATGATGGCATTTCCCTCCCACTCTTTGTCCCTCCCCTCCCCTCCCCTCCCCTCTCTCTAAAAGTAAAATCTTTAAAAAATAATAAATAAAATCTTTTAAAAATAAAATAAATATATATTGATCTAAAGATTTAATTCCAACTGGAAATAATTTTTTTTAAAATCAATGACCTTTTAGAGTAGAAGGGACAGCAATCACCTAGTTCAATAAAATTAAAATAGTTAAAATAAAATGTAAGGAAGAATATACAAGATTAGGTGTTAAAAAAAAAGGATGCATTTGAAGTTTACACATTACCACAGAATGTCAGAGTGGGACAAGATGGCATTTAAGATGGGATTCATGAGATTTATGGATAGGAAAAATTTTACTTTTAGAGCTTAAAAGGAGAGGTGAGCAGCATGAATGATGGTCTGTATATAGAAAGGCTTTCGCTTAAGAACACTAGCAGTTAAAGCAAGAAGAGATCAGAGACTGCTGTCTATTAAAATAATCTGTCAAAATTCAGAGATGTTTTATAATATCTATCTCATAAATGAAGAAATAAGTATTTTTGAGTGTGTGTGTATGTGTATATAAAGAAAAGGAGAATCTTTGTATCCTCCAGAGCACATAGTCTCAGGAACATAATAAACAATGCTGAATCAATGAATATCGAATGTCACATTTCAAATTAACCTAAATAAAACAAAATTTTAAAAACTGCACTTCTAGATATACAGAAGTCAATTAATCTCATAGAATTTAAATGACAAGTAACAGATCCCTGCAACAAAAACCTACTTTATAGATTCAAAGAAGAGTACTCTTAACATTTTTTACTATTAAAGTTTTTATTTATCTCACATTTAGCAAATACTATTGAGAACCTATAATTGTGCCAAGTACTGTGCCTATAATAGTGCCAATTTTCATGTTACAGTAATACTATCTACTTAATGATTTCAGTGTCCAAAGAATATGTACTTGTGTTGTTTTGTCATTAGTGCTGATCATTTTTCTGATCATGTTCCACTGAGATGTATAACAACTTAGTTAACAGAGTAAGACAGGAAATAAAATGCATGGCATGCTGGATTGGTTAATCAACTGGCAGTTCAAATAGTCTGAAGAACTTAGTAGGTGTCAACACTTCCTGAAATTTTTTACATGCCATCATCTCATTCAACCCACGTAACACAATGATATACATACTGTAACTACTTTCATTTTATACATAGGGGGAAAAATACTTAGAGGTTAAATAACTTTCCTAAGGTCCCCCAGCTAGCCCACAGTTCTTCAGTTCAGGGTTTTTTTTTTAAAGTAAGGTGGTTTTCTATTTTATTTCCAATAATACTTTTACTTTTTAATGGTCTTCTCCAGTGTTTGATGTAAAGTTTGTTAAAATTAGAATAGTGGTTCAAGAAATTTTCATAACATACTACAGAGTAAGTCAGTGGAGAATACTAAGTATCTTGAAAATATCTGTCAAAAAAAGTCCTTACTGTGGCCTTTAACAGTCTAATGACTTTCTTAATTTTATCTACATGTAATATAAAAAAATATATAAATACCCCCAAATCCTTGAGGTAGGGGTGGTATAACATATTAAAGTCTATGTTGTTATCTATTATATCGAGAAGTCAGTAAAGCCAGTCACTGACAAATCAAGAATTGCAATAACAAAAGACAAAAATTCCTTACCTCCTGAAACTCCAAAATTATCTGGGGAGAATAAGTAAAATATGTATGATAAATCAGTGCTACAGAGAAAAACAAACAGGTGAAGACTGATAAGGAGTGTGAAGTCTGGGACTCATTAGTGATAAGGAGACAGTTGAATGGTGATAAAGAGAAGTGAGAGAACAAGTCTAGGAGTTAAATGAGTAAATAGAGGCTCCAAGCAGATGGAATAGTGAAGTGCAATCACTTTAAGGCAGGGGCACTTTTTAAAAAACCTATTTGCACTATAATACTCTGAAAACATTTATAATTTTTATAGTTAGCTGAAGAGATTCATTCAAATGTCATTTTTTCTTTTACTAAATGAATCAAAATACAGCTTTAGTTGAGACCTCATGGAATGACTGGTTCATCCTAACTTAATAAGCAAGAAGAGCCTGCCAGAAATCAAATATAACTTCCTCATTCTCACTAGTCAAGCTTCTTCAAGATTTATCTGGGATCTATCTCTTAACTCCAGGTTCTGCCATAGAAAATTAAACAGAAGTATTCAAATGGAATCACTTCATTACAAGGAAGATTAGAGCCCTGGCTGGGTCATTCAGTGGGCAGAGTATTTCCCCCATTCACCAAGGTTGTGGATTCCATCCAGTCAAGGACACATACAAGAATGAACCAATGGCCCTCGCTGCTGTGGCATAATGGATTGAGTGCCAGCCTGAGCACCAAAGGGTCCCAGGTTGGATTCCCAGTCAGGGCCCATGCCTGGGTTGTGATCCAGGGGGGTGTGCAAAAGGCAACCACACATTGATATTTCTCTCCCTCCTTTCCCCCTCTGTCTATAAATAAATAAATAAATAAATAAATAAATAAATCTTTTTTTTAAAAAAAGAATGAACATAAATGCATAAATACATGGAACAACAAAAAAAATCAATGTTTCGATCTCTTTCTAAAATCAAATAAAAATTTTAAATAAAATTGAAGATCAGAGATGAGAATAGATATTCTAAAAGTTACCTTGGGAAATTACTAAAAAATACAGGTGTAATAACTGAAAGAAATTTACAAAATATAGATAGCTAACAATCACAGAAACACAGACCAGACACCAAATTTTCTGATATAATAGATAAGCAGAGTTTGTTGTTCCAAAGTATTCCAAAACTCTAACAGCAGCTTAGCACTTAAGTAAAAAATGCTTTGAATACTATTTTGATTATTTATCTTCCAAAAACACTGTGAAATACTTATTCTAGGTCTCTTTCACAAGATGTTAGTACATAGAACCAGACATTCAATACCTACGTGATGAGTAAGTATATTTCAAATTTGCAGGAAGTATTATTTATCCAGTTTTTCTTTTTAAGATTTAACTTATTTATTTTTAAAGGGGGGGGGGAGGGAGAAAGAGAGGGAAAGAAATATCAATGTGTGGTTGCCTCTAACATGCCCCCTACTGGGGACCTAGCCCAGAACCCAGGCATGTGCCTCGACTGGGAATGGAACTGGCAACCTCTTGGTTTGCAGGCCCGCACTCAATCCACTGAGCCACACCAGCCAGGGCTATTTACCCAAGTTTTCTACAAGGGAAACAACTCTTTCTTCTAAGTAATAATTATATGCAAGTATATTTAGTTAAAATAATGTTATTAGAGCAAGGCCATGGTAGAAATAACTATGACTAAACTTTTAGAATGTGTAGGCTTACATCTGCATTAATACTTCACAAACAAAATAATGTTCCTCCTAAACTATCACAAAATAAATCAAAATAAAGTGATCTGTAACTCCATAGTTTAGTAATGGTTCAAACTGAGAATTTGTTTCAACTCATTACTCTTTTAAGGCAACTGTGAGCCTAAGAATTTGAACACCACTTTCGGTATGATCTAATGGTGGTTTCACTTACATGTAAAATAGACTTTATTTTTTTAAAAATAATTTTACACTTAACTTGTCTTAACTCTGTAGGTGGTATTCTAAAAATATAAGTTCCTTAGGGGCAGGGATATCTAAAACTCTATTGTATATTGAAGAGGTTCAATCAGGAATACTTCTGTGGCTTCTATTAAGTGGAATGTTTTCTCCTTTTTTTCTGTTTTTGTGTTTTTTAATTTTTCTTCTTTTGTTAAGTCAATGTGTTTAAATGATTTACCTACCAACTAAGCAGCAAAAAAATAATTCAACTTCTACTTTACAAAGAGACTTCTTTTACTCAGTTAAAATAAATTTACACTGAATCCCACTAAAGCTGCAATTGATTAACACCAAAAAACAATTAGCAGGCATAGGAAGTTAGAGGCCTTTTAAAGAAGCTTTTAAAATACTAAAATATAAAAAACAAATAATGAAATTAAAGATAGTACAATAAAATATCCACATAACAAGCCTGTTTTCCAAGGAGTGGTCCCCCAAAATATATGGGAAAAAAGAACCCCCCCCCCCCCCCCCGGAGAGTTGACAGGAAGTTTGACACTCACTTGATCGCAACAGAAACCCTGTGGCCTAATATCATGAATGGGAAAAACTCTACATCAAAAGGTTAAGCGACTTGCTCAAGGTCAGTTAGGGAATTTAGCATCGCAGGTCTACCTAGAAGGGTGCACCCCACTGCAATACTTCGTCCTGCCTCCCCTGCGCCTGAGGTAGAGTGAATGAGACTCCCGCACTATCCTCAATTTGCCAAAGAGGCGGGTGAAAGCTTTCCCTGGCAGGTCAGCCGGAGGAAAGTTGTACAGGTCACGGATCAGCCCAATGAAGTGACAAGATGACAAGCGCAGCTCCCAAAGGTACAGCCCCGCTTTCCCAGAGCCCCTCCAAAGCCGGCGCCAGCAAGACTGCCCCCGGATATGTCTGAAAAACCTCCCATTGAGTTTCGCCCCGTCCTGGGTGCGAGGAGCAAGCGGGCAGTGAGCCAGAGGACGGACGGCCAGCCGACCCAGCCATGTGTCCAGCCCGTCACGCCCGCCTCGCCTCGCCTCAACTGGTTCCTCGTGCCTCGACCGCAGCCAGAGGCCCAGCTCAGATACAACGCAAAGGCTGTCTGGGCCACTGTCACCACCACGGTAGCAGCCTGAGGCACCCTGGCGTGGCACTCTGGGTCAGGTCCCCGCCCCACCTCTCCAGCTGGGGCCCTCAGCGACGCCGTCCGCGTCTCCAGCCAGGCCCAGAGGGCTCGGCCTGCCACTGTGCGCCCGCCCGCCGCCGCCGCCGCCGCCAGCCCGGCGTTCTTACTTCATTGAGCTGGCGCTCCGCGGCCTCACGCAGGGCTGGGTCCATGGTGCCCCGCAGGGCCTCGATAATGGTGTTGGGGTCCATCGCAGCGCGGACTCGCTAAAACCCAAGGCTCGGGTGCTTCTGCGCCAGAAACAGCGCCGCTCACTGCGCACATGGACCCACCGCGCTCCGCAGCGGCAACCGGCGCGAAAGGAAAGGGAGCGCCAAAGGCCCGGATAGAACCTCTTCACCCTCTCGCCGTGGAGGCGGGAGATGCTCTGGGAACTTCCTGTCGGCGTGCCGCAAAGCACCTTGGGATATGTAGTCTACGCTTGCAATCCTCAGCCCACGTGGTCCTGAGCTGTCACTCATACAGAGAAGTCATGCTATTTAAAAAGGAAAAAAGACTGCACACATAGAAAGTTAAAGCAATCAGTCAAAAATATTTCACATAACAATATATTTATGGTGGCTATAAGGTGAATCTATTGGTAGTAGCTGTGTATTGAAGGAAAGCTTTTCAAAAGCAATTTGAGATGGTGTTTCTATATGCCATAAATATGTTTATAACTTTGACTCAAGTAATTCCATTTGGGACTATCCTGAGGAAAAAACACAAAAGATTACATGAGCTTTATGTGCGAAAGGTATTTATCATGTTACCAATCCATGTTTATTATAATCACCAAATAACTAAAATTATGGCTTTTTATTGAGTATCCAAATATTGGTGGAAGTTTTATGTAAATCACATCTAAATGCGGAATAAAAGCATAATCTCTATTAAAACCCACCTTCTTTAAAACAGGTAATGGAACAATTTCAGAAAGTTAAATAACTATTCCAAGGTCACTTAAATAGAAGTTCACCTAGGATGTTTCTGTTTTCATTTCACTGAATTACTCTGCCTCTCAAGAGAAATGTCAAACAATATAGGAATGTTGAGGCAAATTACAAGATCCAGTAATTGAATATTTCACAGTATATAATATGTAAACATATCATTATATATTTATTAATATATATAGTATGCATGTTATTTTTAATATATAAATATTTTATATCATTTTAGTATAAAATTACAAATATTAAACACCTTGTAACAACACAAAAACATTTATGTAAGGATACAGCTTTGTAACATGGATAAAGACTGGGAAACCAGGCTGGGAAAGTTCACCAATTACTTACAAATGAAAGTAATTGGTAAACTTTCTCTTTCAAATTATAAGAGAAAGTTTATTTAGAAAGTTACAGAGATAGTAGAAGTGAGCCAGCTGGGCTGTGTAGGCTCCAAAACAAGTTACAGAGCAAAAGGAGGGCCCCTGGAGCTTAGAAAAGGCAAAGGCAAAGGCAAAGGTAACGTGACTTGAGGGGAAGAAGAGGTGTGAGTGTGCTCCATAATGGGAAAGTGCCCCAGTAAATGATTTTCTATTGCAGGATGGTGAGATTTTGAATAATTTCCTTTTATATCTGCTATTGTTGTTATGTAAACATAGTGTTAAACAGAAAACCACAGGCCAAGAATGACGTCACAAAAGCCCCTGATAAAAATCCTAGATTTAATTCCTGATCTAATTGTTGCTTCAGCCTTTCCCATAAACAATCAGCCAGTCTGGATTTTCTCGTGAGGTAATCTGCCTGATGAGACTCCGTGCATTCCCCTTAGGGAAGGTGTTCTTATCGGAAATAATCTACTCTTAGTTTTTTTGTCCCACCCTCTTCCTGCCTGTAAAAACCTTGTTTTTTACAGAACTCATCTATTCCCTTCTAATTGCTATATGGGATGCTGCCTGACTTATGAATGCTTAAGTAAATCCAATTAGATCTTCAAATTTACTTTTTAACAATAGATACTTAAGTCAGCTCTCTTTGGAGCATTCCCGCATACCTATCTTCCCTCTCCTGACTACATCTTTATTTTTCTCTCCTAAATGTAAAGGTCCCCACAAGACTTACAACCAGGAGAACAGCAGGCAGTAGCAACTCATCCCAGGCTAACCTCCTTACCTGTTTCAAAGGCCCTTTTTCTCTGACTTTCCAGTGAGCTAAAAGCAGCCCCACCTTAGCTAACTTCTGTCACTGTGACTCTAACCTCTCAGTGAATTCACGCAGCCCAGCATGGCTCTCTTCTTTCCTTTAATGTTTTTAGAGCCAAAGGAGCCCCACCTAGGCTCTCCCCTCTTGCTTCCTCACCCTCAGCCCTTCCTTTGTTTCACGGTCTCCAGGTTTTTTTGTGGTGTTTTTTTTAAATTTATTGTTTTGAGAGAGAGAGAGAGAGAGGAAGTGGGCGGGGAGGTGAAGAGAGACACACTGATTTGCTGTTCCACTTATTTATGCATTCATTGGTTGATTTTTTAGGTGCCGTGATGGGGGATCGAACCTGCAACCTTCATATATTGGGAAGACTAACCAACTCAGCTATCCGGCCAGAGCTCACTGTCCCCAGCATTTTTTTTTTTTTAAAGATTTTATTTATTTATCTTTAGAGGGGATAGAAAAGAGAGAGGGAGAGAACTGGCCTGCAACCCAGGCATGTGCCCTGACTGGGAATCGAACCATGGTTGCTTGGTTCCCAGGCCCGCGCTCAATCCACTGAGCCACACCAGCCAGGGCCCAGCATTTTTTTTAAAAATATTTTATTTATTATTCCCTTCTAGAGAGAAGGGAAGAAAGGGAGACAGAGAGGGAGAAAAACATTGATGTGTGAGAGACACTTCTATGGGCTGCCACTCATACACCCCCAACTGGGGACCTGGCCTGCAACCCAGGTGTGTGTCCTGACTGAGAATCAAACCTATGACCTTTTCGTTCGCAGGCAGGCACTCAATCCACTGAGCCACACCAGCCAGGGCTCACTGTCCCCAGCTTTAATAAATGTACTCTCAAAATAAAAAATAGTAATAATTGTTAAAAAATAGACACTTAAAATGAATCGTAAGCCCTTAAATGCCATTCGTTTAAAAATTGCATATTGATTTTAGCTTGCAAAAAAAAAAAAAGAAAGGAGGGGGCACAGAAACATTTTCCTGTAGTGGGGCTTTACGATATTAGTAGTTCCTTATGTGCCAGCTGCTGTGCTTGAAAGTGAGATATAATTAACCCTAATTTACAAATGAAGAATCCAAGACTCAAATAGGCCACTTCAGTTGTGAAAGGTCAGAAAGATAACATATAGTTAGCTCTATCATTGTACTGAAGCAATCTGTTTAAGAATTTTCTCATTCCTTAAATATGAGGGCCTTGAAAATAAGGATTATGTTTTATTCCCTTTCATAACTTTACCTCCTAACACAGAGCTTGAATATCTACCAGGAATTCAGTAAATATTTTAGTGAATAAATGAAGAAAGGAATGAATGAAGCAGCAACGATGTGGTGGCTGAGCCAGAATGAAACCTCAGTCTTCATGATTCCAAAGCCTGTCTTTTTTGCACTACTACATACCTATTTTAGATTCTAGAATTGACTTGTACATCATGGAATTGTGACACTCACAGCATAACACAATGTATGTAAAAGCACTTGACACACAGAAGGTGCTCCAAAAATGTTAATTCTTCCTGTCCCTGAGTACTGGAAATTGAGAGTTAGCAAGGTTCGCTGAAGCTGGAGTGGGGCCTGTGTCTCATGCTTCAGAGAAAATGGAGCTCCTAGGGTGCCGGAACCTATCCAGGGAGCCAGAGTTCTTTTATCTACCTAAGGAGCTTGGCTCCAGGACCCTTCAGGAGCTTGCCTGGCAGCGTGATTAGCACACCAACTTACTTGTAGGTTTATTTTTATTTTGTGAAGATTGTGACACAGAGAATGTGACTTACATGACAAGAAAATTAGATGGAAGCCTCTCAAGGACAGGGACCACGACTATTTCTTTGTGGCAGACACAGCAATGAATATGTGGTCAATAAATAACGTGAAGATTAATGGGAAAAACACTAAGTTGGGCCAGTGTAAACATAAATAGTTAACCTTATCTCACCCCTCAATCCCATTTCCCAGTGCCACAGCCAACACAGGTATTTACACCTCACTGGGCAAGTCTGAGAAATTTAGAAAAGTAGAAACTACAGGGCTTCAGAGCTGGTTTTGAGTTGGGATATGACTAGACAAAAATTTTTAAAAAGTAAAGATCAATGCAGAGATAATTGGTTAACTGATCTCATAAGGGATGGTTCTGTTGTTCAAACAGAAAAAAATCTCTGCCTATAAGTAAGAGAGAGAAAATGGGGGTTCAGGATGTGACCATAACAAATATAAGAGAATAGTAAGAATTAATCTCTTTACAGCCCCCCATTGGAGGCTTTTGTGGGTGACTAATAATGACAAGGCCCTTCGTGTTAAGAACCTAGCTCCCAGAGGCATCATAAGGCCCAGACTAATCTATCTGAGGTGACTGGATTCTGTCAAGACCTCACATCCAATACTTTTTATGTTAAGTCTATTTCACATAGTCAGAACATTTTAGATAAACTTTTTCATAAAATTTAGTTTTTTCAGTGAAGGTAATCATTATATTTGTAACTAAGTGGAATTTTTACTCTAAAAGTAAGATTGGTGAGATTTTTACTCTAAACAATTTAACACGTGAACAATAAAAGAAAGACATAGGCCCTGGCTGGCACTGCTCAGTGGATTGAGTGCCGGCCTGCAGGCCAAAAGGTTGCTGTTTCGATTCCTGGTCAGGGCACGTGGCTGGGTTGCAGGTCAGGTCCCCAGTTGTAGGTGTGTGAGAGGCAAACGATTGGTACATCTTTTGCACATTGATATTTCTCTCCCTCTGTTTTCCTCCCTTCCTCTCTCTCTAAAAATAAATAAAATCTCTAAAAAAAGAAAGAAAGACATAGAAGCTAAGAAAAGAGCTATTACATTCTGAGGCATGTGAGAGCTGTGTTGCCTTGGGTAAAACCTTTATATCACTGGCCCTCATTTTTTGTTTCCATCTGTAAAATGGAAACATAAATAACCCTGTCCTGGGCTCGCAAAGTTATTCTAAGAATCAAATGAGGTTGCAAAGTGCTTTGTAATTATTAAGTTCGGTACAAAAGTAAATTGTTATTGGTATTAAGGAAAGGGATGAGGAGAAAGGAAGGTAAAAGGGCATGTCAGGAGAGGTAAAGAAAGAGAAGAAATGGGGAGAGTACCCTTCCCAGTAGCTGTAAGTCTGCACATTCAGCAACTTGGTTCCTATGTGTTAAAGCTTAGTATACATGCAAGAAAAGGTAAAAGACAACCTTGTACTGAAATTGTCACATTAAGACCATTTTATATTT